ATTGAATCTTTTTCATTCTTATGCTAAATTATCAATGAAACTCAAAGTACCATGTTCAGGCCTGTTCCATTTAAAAATACACACTTATAAATTCAAGTCTATAAAATAAAAAATCATTTTCAGTACTAACTAAACTTTGACAGGCATTTTCAGGGATAAGCATATAGATCTATCTGAAAATCACTGGCTTGGATTTGACCATAACTCATCCTTTTAGAAACATTAAAATTTGTGACTGAAAAACTGTGGGGAGATTACAGTTCAAAATAATCAATCATATGTTTTACAAATACTGAAATAAAACATACCAAAGCTTCAATTACAATGAATGCTAACTTGACAGAAATATTCATTATTCTAGCTAGAAGAATACCTACTTTTTAATGTAAAAGCTTTAAAAATATGTAGAAGATATAAAGTATCTCTATTTTGCAATTGTTTAATGATGGTTCTGTGTATTCCCTAAAGAGATCTTGTATAGTTGAGTAATTATATTATTCCATCACAAAGACACACATGCACACACAGACTGTGACATTCATGCACATTCTTTAAATATTTATGTAAAAAAGTTAGGGCTTTGATATTAAACATAATTTTCCAGAGGATCGTGTAAACAGAAATTCATTTCCATAATCTCTATCCTTCTTAGCTTTGACAACACATATGGAAGATTAATGAATGAATAGTAAATGATAATTGTAATGATGAATTACAATGGCAGATTAATTGCTTTACTTTTAAGGCCTAAAGTTTCCTTACTCAAAAGACCTCTTGGTGACCTCAATAAAATCAAGTTTAAAGATATACTTTTTAAACTCCTGAGTATATCCTGATCAAATTTAGGTATTTTCCATTTATTTTTATTCTTCTGCTTTCTAATAAATTATTTTAGACCTATGTCAGATGTTTCTAACGCCCACATTCTATCTAGATTTTCTGTGTAACTGACAAAATAGTAAAGATAAATTCCTAGGTTACTGTCTGTAGACTGGAAAAAAAAGAGTCAATTTCTGACTGTAGAGAAGAATGCTACATATCATATTAGTATCTCTCAGCACCTGTAGATTTTAACACCTGCATATTTTCTTTCTAGAGATAATGGGCTTTTCTGAAGGATTTTTTATTTGAATGGCATTTTTAAGATCGAACCTAATGCATTTTTTCATGCTAGTGCTCTTAGAGCAATAATATAGGTCCCTGCTGGGCAATAGGCAAAATGGATACTTCTCAGATGTAGGTGGTAGAATATAATTAGCTGTGCTGGAAATCTTTCTGATGCATTTGGGCTTGCTGAGAGGTGGGTTTTCAATCATTTATGACTTTCTGAAATCCTTCCCAGCCCACATGTCTTTTTAAAATATTTTAGAAAGAATTTTGGAAATATTTTAAAATGAAAATGTCATTTAAAGTCATTTATTAACTGATCATGATTTTGATATTCATTATAAAGAATTTCAGGTTTGTAATACAATTAGCAATTCAAAATTTTACCAATATTGTTTGAGGAAAATATTATTTAGCTAAGAAAAGAGACTTTAATTAAGATAATAGCAGAATGTAAACTATCTTCATATCAATACTGTATCCTGCATTCATAATTTATTGGTATTTACTTTTTATGAAGTAATTATTGCTTGAATGCAGTATGATACCCAAAATAAAAAGCATACTAGGAAGAAAGCTTATAAGACACAAAATACTTAAACATCAAGGTGAAAGATTAGAGTTTAAGTGGATGGTGGTATTTATGTTTTTATATCAGGTAAGATGAAATAGTCAAGAAGTTGTTATGATACATTTTCTTAAAAAATAACTGTAAAAAAGAAACAAAGGACTTCTTTTTTTTTTTTTCTTTTTCTGATGACTGTATTCTGTACCTTGTATATGGTGTACTCACGTGCACGTCTGTGGGAGGAGAGAGGGCACAGAATCAGAGGAAAAATGGTGAAAAAGTGCAGCAGTGGACATTGTTGAAAGTCAGCTATGCAACTCATGGGTGAAGATATGAGGGAGGAAATGGGAGAGAATGAGGGAGCAAGATGACAACTATACGAAAAGCAATGTACTCATTACCTGACATTTGTAAAGGTAACCCCTCTGTATATAGCTTGTAAAACAGCAATAAAGTAAACTAGGAAGAAGAAAAATGTGTTCCAAGGAAGACAAGAAATTCTTTAGGTAGCTGGGAATGCTTTGGCCAGAGAAATATGAAACATATATGAATATCTTTTGAAGATATTGGAAGTCTTTCTTGGTCACATTCAATATGGAAACGTAGTTATTATCTGAATTACAGACACCTGTCAGTATTCTTTAAATCAGGAAACTAGAATGTGTGAATAGGTGAATCAGAGAGAGATTGGTTAAAACAAATACATAAAGGTGAGACTGTTGAAAGGTGTGACAATTATAAAGATGCTTGAACTGCTTTGTTTGTATGTGTGTGGGGGTTGTTGTTGTTGTTTGTTTTTCGGTCTTGGGGCTTTTACTCTGGGCCTGGGCGCTGTCCCTCAGCTATTCAGCTCAAAGTGAGGGCTCTACCACTTGAGCCACAGCGCCACTTCCGGCTTTCTGAGTGTTTTATTGGAGATAAGAGTCTCACAGCTTATCCTACCTGGCTGGCTTTGAACCGCGATCCTCAGCTCTCAGCCTCCTGAGTAGCTAGGATTACAGGCGTGAGCCACTGGCGCCCGGCATGAACTGCTTTGTTAAATGGCTTTTTTTTGTTACAGTTATTTAAAGATAATAAAAGAATTAAAAAGTCCATTAGAGTTTAAAAGAAAAGAAACACAGTTTGCTAGAAATGGAACACCAATGTCATGCAAGATGACAGACTCAAATAACTCAACACTTATTAAAAATACATAAATAAGTATATAAATATCAGAAGTCAAAGACTGAGCCTATGTCATAGCTAAGGGCATGGAAAATGATTAGTTCCATTTATGGAAACCCATGAACAGTGAATTGCATATTGTGTGTGTGTGTATGTGTGTGTGTGTGTGTGTGTGTGTGTGAATCAGGGCAGAGATGAATTTAGACTGCCATAACCACTGGGTATAGTGATTCTTATCCGAATCTCAGCACTCAGGAAGCCAGAGCAGAAGGATTGCAAGATCAAGACTAATCTAGAATAAATGGAAAGACTATCAACAACAATAGCAAAGGTTGTACATGTTAGTTGGAGTATATATCCATTTACTTGAAGTGAACTGTGAGGTTCAGAAGGTACAAAGAAGAGTGGATCAAATCAGGAGAAAGAATGACTGAAAATCCTCAATTTAAGTATGGGCGGGTACATCAATGAAGTGTGTATGACCCAAAAGAGATCCACATCCAAGACAAAAATTCATGAGTTACTTAAGAGATGTGTAATTGAGAGAAATTACAGCAAATGAGAACATCTTCCTCAAAAAGGGCTGACCAAAGGAAGCACCACCAGGTCTGACTACGAACATAGCTACAAGGGACTCAGTAAAAATAGGTGCTCAAAAACTTTTAATTATCCATTGTAAGAAATTGTAATTTTGGCAGATAAAATGTATAAATTTAACTTCTGTAAACTGATAAATTCTCTTCTCTCAATTAAAAGAATTGGGAAGCTAGATATTTTACAAACCAAAAACTAAGGACATTTTAAGTTATTTACCTTACTTTACTACTATCTGAGTTAGGTTTGAGCATTGAGGGAAAAAAAATTGGTACAGAAATTCTTACATATCCTGTTTCCTTAAGACCATTTTCTCAATAGCATTTAATCTATGAATAATTTGACAAAGATTTGAGATTGTATAATAACCTCATTGATAAATGAAATTAATAAGACAAAACTGATTTTAGGGGCATAAATTATGTTTAAAAATAATTTTGAAATATTATTTTTATGTGATTAAAAATAAGTTGATAAAAGCCATGTTTTTCTGGCACCATTTTCACACATGTATTCAAATTCACCTCAGTCTGAATCACATTTATCATATTTATTATAATAAATATAGCTTATTATATCCTAATACAATATTTTAATGTTATGTGTATGGTATATATTACTGAGACAATAAAAACTCAAAATCTTGATAAGAATCAACTCAAATGTAATAATTCATATGTACCTAATAAATTATAAATTGTTACAAGCTCATTATACTTCCTTATTTTGAGAAATAAAATTGAAAGAATTAATTACTTGCTTATTTGTGACTACTTCAAAGGATTTTGTAAATTAAGAAACAATTCTAGGTATGCCAACCTAGTTGTAAATACTAATTGCCATTAAAATAAAATCTATAGACTATTGAATTTTAAACAATATGAATCATACTCACAAACCACTATGTTGAATTAAAAACCCTTTTTACAATAACTTAAATATAGTATGTAAATAAATAGATAAAATTTTTATATCCGTAAAATGTATTTCTGGAAAACCAGATTAATCATTTCCATAGTGTTACACTGACTTCCCAAGAATAACTTAGGGATGGCTGTGTTTTAATATCTACCTGTGATGCACATGGAGCAAAGTTTACAGATAAACACTACTATTTTACTTATAGAAAAACTAAAGTGTCTTCCTAAAGACTCCGTAATTTTTAAACAACAGAATGGGAAGCCAAAATACTGAATAAATATCATATCATGTGTAAGTTTTAGATAGAACGGAAGAAGAAGCAATTCTGTTGCTTTATACGCTCTCAAGGAATAATTGTAATCCAACTAAAGTTACTCTAAGAAGACTGAACATGCAGGCTTTTTAATAAGCAAACATTATGCTAAATGAAAAGCAATTGGTTAATAAACTATGTGTCCAAGTATTTATTACATGTCAGTACTCCTACAAGCAGATGAGCAAATAGAATGTATAAGTTAAAAACAGTAAATCGAAACTTCAGAAATGTTACTGTTGTAAATTAAGAAAAATGTAGGCATGAGTGTGTTCTTTACACAAGCAAGCTTACAATCTTGCTCTCTCTCTTTTTCTGAATTGATATAAACAGAGCCCAGATGGGCGCATGGAAGTCAAAGGGCGCCATGGAAGCTCAGCACTACATATTAAAGATGTGAGGTTGTCAGATTCGGGGCGTTATGACTGCGAGGCTGCCAGTAGAATTGGAGGACACCAGAAGAGCATGTACCTTGATATCGAATGTAAGTTACTTTCAGCTTGAACGTTTGTTAAAATAGCTTTGTCGGCTTTGGAAAAGAGAAGTTCCTTTAAGGAAGTAAAAATGCATATGAAGTTCATTTATCAGTACAGCTCCAGGATTGAACATCAGTTATTAGAGACATCTAGTGGCTGCTAAGGCACATTTCACAGGGCTATTTAATGATGCATTCTGAGAATTGGAGCGGTCTTCTTTTTGCAATATTTAACCAAAAACATAGAACCAAATGAGCCACTTTAGTTTTTAATAATCATTTGTTCAAATTTCCTTTGTACATCTATCTACATGTGTGCTTTTTAAATGAGAATTCTCTGCCCCAGAAATGTGCTGTTTTCATTTCTTACTAAATTTTTCTATTGAATTATTTTATGCCCATATAAAATATGAAACACTTGTCAATACAGTGAAACACATTTGAGCTTATAGTTCATTAAAAGTGAATAATTTTTCCTCTGTAATATGGGATCCTCACTATAAGAATTGTTGAAAGTATAGCTTTATCTTTCACAATTTTGTGATATTGCTAATAAAGAATACAAATGTAAACTATGATTTTTAATTTATTTTAGATACGTGGAATTTTTAAATTTTATTTTAAAGATAGTATACAGAATGGTTAAACTTACATAAGTTAGGTCATGTTTTAAAATTCCATTATTTGGGATTTTATGTATTTTTATTTAATTTATTTTATTTATTGGTATTTCTAAATAATGGAATTTTAAAATATTTTTCTCAATACATTATTTAAAAGGTAGATCTTCAGTACCATTCTCAGTGAATATCTATGAATCATGAATTCTGAGGTTCCCTTATACTTGAAAGTACAGGGATGCTTTAGTAGAAATGTTTGAGATATTTTGTTGAGAAATATTGTTATTGGAGCATTTTGTCTACATTAATATTGATTGAACACAATAATAACTGTTGAATAAAATGTATTTTTCATTCAGAAAACCCTTATAAAAACATTCTGACAAGGACTTTTCTAAGTAAGCTGTATTGCTTTATATTTTATAGATTTAGAAAATTAATTGTAGGTCGCTCCCAAGAAGGTCATTTATATTAACATCACAAATGTCTTAGTATGCAAACAGACTCAATGTTTTGATACTACTGAGAATATAGAAAGAAATGACGCAAAATAATCTGAATTGCCTTAGCAAAATTTTATTACCTACTTATCTATCCTGCATCTTTTCCTTCATTGTAAGTACATTTCATTTTTCAAGTCAACAAAATTGAAATTAACTTAAAAAACACTCATCATACATTCAAAATAGTTTTTATTTTTTAGTTTGAAATTGTATATAGGCCAGATTTACTTTTGTTAACGTAATTCTTTCTTGTTTTTGATTGAGTTCAGTTTTGACTGCATAAGCTAGTAAAATCTATGTGTGCCCAGATTATTTTATTTTTTAAACTAATGTCCATGAGAATCATTCATGTTCTTACACATGACAGCATTTCTCCCTTTTTGAGAGTTCACTTGTATTTCCTTCTGTCCACCCAGTATGTCTTGCATTCCATTGTCAAATAAGTTAATTAAATACCACACTTTTGTTGTTGTGAATTTTGCTACAGTAGACATGGAAATGCAGTTATCTCTAGGATATTTCCTTTGGGCACACACTCAGAAGAAGGATTAGTTGACTGTATGTTATTTCTCTTTTCAATTTGTTGGAAAGCTGTCTTGTTTTCCATAGTGGCTTCATTAAGTTATACACTTGGAAACAATATACTGTCTATGAATTCCCTTTCCCCTGCTTCCTCTCCAATACTCACATTTCACCTTCTTGATAAGTGTTTGAACCAGTAGGAACTGATACATCATTATGAGTTCAATTGAAATGTTCATAAGTTCTAACACTGCCAGACATTTCCATGACCTACTGATAAGTGTGTGTTTTCTTAGAGGACATGTCTAGGCAAGTTGTATGCCTATTTTCAAAGTTCTTGCATGTTTCATTTCTATTCAGTTAAGCTGATAATATACTTTGGATATTAAGTTCTTACCAAATTAAATGGTTTACAAATGTTCTTTTCCATTATGTGAATTGTTTCTGCTGAACTATTTCAATCAATGTACATTGAAGAAAACATACAATAACTTACTATATTTGTTCCTTTTATTGTATGCATATAGTAGACTTCAGTACTTGAGATTAAAATTCTATTTCAAATCTATATTTTTATATCATATGGCCATATACGTTCTTTTATCTACACTTATTTTCTCCTTTGGCTTCTTAAATATGAAGAGCAAAACTATTTAAATTTCCCAAGTCTCATTTTACCAAATATGTCAAATTGAAATTATATGTATAATGCCTTTTGTGTTCTAGTTAAGAAATCGTCACCTAATTTAAATTTTTAAAAGGTTTATGGCTATGCTTTCTTTTTAGACTTCTGCAAACCTAGGTTTTATAAAAGTTCTGTGAGACATTTTGAGTTTTGTTTTTTAAACCATTGTCCATTAATTTCCATGCATATGTATACTTAAAAATTCACCACTTGTTGGAAATACTTTTATTTCTCTATAGTGGGTATTTTGAAATGACTAATCTTTTCATAGTAATAGTTTACAATTGTGTTAACTTCTGGATCATTTTCTTGTTTTCTATTTTGAAAATTTATTTATATTTTCAATATTTTCTTTCTTTTTTGTATTTTTGATTGATCTTATTTTGTCTCAAATACTTATTGTGCTGGATAATTATTTTAAATAAGTCATGTTTTCTTAAATAACTAAATTTTTCTGCTAGGCAGTGCTTTAATTTCATTCTCTAAATTGTAATGCATTGTATTTTCTTTGTTGTATAGGTACTGTTACTTTCCTTATCTGCTCATATTTTTTAATGTCAAGCATGTTACATTAGCATTTGTTGGCAATTTCTTCTTATATGATGGTGTTATTTGTACATTTTTTTAAAACTTAAGATTAAAATTTTCATACTTATTACAATATAGTATAACTTGCTCTGCATCATTCTTGAAAGTTATTTTCAACATTTATTATAATTTTTTGGTCTTGGGTTAAATAATAAAATCAAAGAGAAAATCATGATTACATTTTTCCAATGTGGAACAGGGAATTCTTTAGTTATTGAAAATAATCTTTAAGTCATTGTACTAAGGAGTTGACATTTAACAAAATGGCTTATGAATATAATATATCTTGATCAATGTCCTTTCAACATTCATGCCTTTCAATGTTTGCATTCATCCTTCCATTACTTATATCATTCCTTCACTCTTCTTAAATTTCATGAATTCCTGATTGCAGTCTCCCCTCTTCTCTTCTTTTTGTGTCTTCCTTTCCCCTTGACCCCACAGCACTCCTTTCAAGTACCCCTTCTTGCTGTTTATTTTATTGAGCTTTGCCTTTGCCTTTTAACTGAAATAAGGTAGATTCAATGGAACATGGTGCTTACATCTATATAATAAATGTTTCTTATATATTTATATGAGTATTAGAAACTTTCAAGTTTATCTTGGCATTAAATGATTATGCAACAGACAAAAGCTATTGGTGCTTTTTAATTGAATCTAATATGTATTAAATATAGTTTGTGTACCAAAAGATTATAGCAATGATACATATGTAGCACAAGAATATCACAGTGATCAGCTCACCATTACTCCACAAGTAAAGACATGAAAAGTGGAAGTAAATACTTAACTATTAGACATGATTGAAATGCTTTGATTATACATGCTGTCTTTAAATCTAGAACAGAAACAATGAGAATTAACAGTCTATCCATTTTCACAAGAAAACATAGCATAGAAGTCTTTGCCTCCTGAGCCAGGCATCTACAGAATAACAATTCTAAGAACAAGCGGGGAGAATCACACTATTTCTAATTTTTTAAGAGCCTTATTAGTAGTGAACTCAATGTTAAAATATTGAACCTTTAAAAATATTTTTGTTCAAACCTCTTTTGTATTTCAGCTTAAGCAGATTCCTTGGCATTCTGCCAGTTCACTTTAGTTTCAAAGGTATTACCTGACTAAGAAACAGTTGAACTATAGTTCCAATTAGGAAAACAAAGGAGATAACAGCCATTTGATATGAGATTGCATGCAATAATCACCGATTACATACTATGTTTGATTACAATAATAATGTTATTAAGTTTTCCGAGTAGGTAGTCATTACACATTAAATATTAATTAGACTTAATTATTTTATGTGACAAATTTAACGTAAAAATTACATGGTAACAGTGATTGCAAAGAAACATTGAATTTTTTTCACTTTCATCTTTCTCTAATTGAGCTTGCAGCACATTATTTTTTAAATTCATATTAAATATAATAGTAATATCCAAATGCAACATTTCCTGTAGCATAGAGGATGACCTTTACAATATCAAATACATTCCAAGACTGCCTATAGGAAATATGATAACCCAGATTTATGCTACGTTCCTATTTTCCATTGTGACAGAGTTAATAGACGTATACTTTATTGAATAAGTCTTTCCTCAACTGTTACATTCTATCAATAGAACAGTTAGGCATCCTCTGATTCATCTTCTGAATGAGTAAGGTAAGAGATGAGCCAGAATGTAACACGTCAAGAAAGCTACTTCAGCAATCTATCTAAAATTTGAAAAATTTCCTTGGCTATAGCAGATATTTTATATCTCCGAGTAAAATCTGGTCTTATAACCCTGACTTCAACACTCATCCAGATACATTTAAGCTATTGAAACTTCAAAGATAAGGGCTCATTTGCAGACATGAATTGGAGCTACTTCTTGCAACTATTTAGGTTTTACATCTAGCAGGCTACTTTCAAGAACAGAAATGGAGAAAATGCAAAGCATAGCTCTTAATCCAGAAGGAATAAAGAGGAGAACATTAAGGAAGAAAATGAGGAAAAATCGTTTAGTGCTCAGCCATATTTTTAACCCAAACTTTATACATACTTGCTGAGAAAAATCACGTTTTTCATGTGTAAGGATTCCATCAATT